TGGGTCGGCTCGACCGGGGAAGGACCACGCTCTCACAGAATACCAGCGTAAAATAGTAGCTTAATGATGCTGTGTTTCGTATGGTGAGTGTAGAGAACCGGAGACTCATTTTACTGGTAACGAGGCATTCCATCTTAGTCCTCACGGGTGACAACGCAGCTGCATTTTGATTCGTAATCGAGGATAAATGTAGATGTCTATGGGCCACAGCAACCACTTACAATCAGGTGGACTGTGTGCTCGTTTGTCACCCTTATCCTATAAAAAAAAACCTTAACCTACTCTCACTCATATTGCAAGATTGGTGTAATGTTTTATTAGACACAAATTACCTAATTATACGTGTGAGTATCAGAGTATATATACACTATTTTATTCTATTGTCTAATATTGTTAAAATATTTTTATGATATTTATTTTTTGCATTTTAAATATAAAAAATATATCATACTAACGTATATACTCCCCATCACAAAGTACGCATGTTATTGTGTCTATCACCTTCATATTTCTAAATGGATATTGAAATTTTAAAATAATTAATTATTATCTAATACTATTTTAACAAGTGGGATGCGGGAAGTGAAGACTGTAAGAACCTCCGAAGGAGGCGGAGTTAAAGCCGAAATAAGAATTTAATTTTTGGATTGGGTTTAGAATCAAGTCGCCTGAATTTGAGGAGTCTGTCACTGTGGGGAGGGGGATAAGGGGGCTTATCTCAAGCGCTCCCATGCAATTTTAGCTGCCGGAGCTGCGTCGAAATATTTAATATAATTTTCTTAATATATTCATAAATCACAAATTAATACCTGAAACGGAACTTTTGAAATTGACAGTAATCAGTAACAGATATTCTCGACCAAAGAGTATATAATCACTACGTTTATACTCGACTTTGCGACTCGCGTCATAAGAGTCATTCCGTTGCTTCAGAGTTTACGTGAATGTGCTCCTTATTATTATTATCTGCCTCATGCCTCAAAACATGTACTTTTACCAATAAAATTATCTGCCTCATATTTTTGGACGACTTCTCTATCCCTCTGGAGACCGATTGCTTGCTATTTTACGACGTTATTGGAAATGGTCGAAGTTAACATTTTGGTGTTTTATTTGGTGCAAGAGCGAGCGAAGCAAGCTCGCGACTTGGGGCACACCAACTTGGACAGGTTAGGTTAGAAGGGGATGACGGGGTCGAGTGAGCGAGTGAATCGAGCAATCAGACCCCTCCATCCCCTTCGTAGTTATTTTTTTATAGACCATCCAGAAATAGGAGTCCCGCAAAGTGGGGCTCCGTCGACCGAGCTTCCCTCGACTGCGCCACGTTGAGTGGCGTGGAGCTACCCTCCTCCAACTCTCTGCCCCCACAAATGAAGTTTATATTGTCAAAAACATTACGAAAACATAACTTCAAAATGAGATTTTTAAAAATTTATAAAAAAACTAAGCAAGTCTGGCAGGAAATGGAAGTAGGAGGGTGAATCTACAACTTCCTTCCACCTTTCCTTACTACCCCCCACCCCCAAATTCAGGCGACTTGATTTTAAACCTTACCCTAATTTTTTTTGGGTTTTGACCATTTTAACTCCCTAGGAGTGTAATGAAAACTTTTTGCCACTATTCAACCATGACCCTCATGACGTCCTCTACATGATAGGTTATTCAAACTGACTTTTCCTAAAGTTCGGGCCACCCCCAACTCATTTCTAATCTTTACTTGCGAATATTCTATATGTCGTTAAAAATAATAAAAGTGGGAGAGCTGATGTTCAACTTGCTCTTTTGCTCACGCAATTAATCATTATCAGTAATAGGACAGCGTAACGCACTATACACTCAGTATAGAGAAATTATAGTTCGACCACACCGTAACACATCCCCGCCACAATCTCACACCAGTGTAACGTGAGGTACGTAACTACATGATAACACCAAAGTATGCAAACCAACAGCAACACTACTTATCTCAGTGTAACACAGGGCAGCCTCTCAGCAACACCATTCTCCTTGCCTGCACTAGAAGAATTACTACAACGAACAGAACCACGACACTATCCTATCACTAAATCAATGACTACACTCGTAGAACGGCTTATTATAAGCGAAATGTCTCTCGCACGGCGCCTTCGGTGAACTTTATACTGCATAAACGAGTGGGAGTCGGGACTGTATGGCGGATGGTCTAATAATTCTATGTTTTCTTGTTCTAAAAACTCTTTTGTTCTGTGTGTGGTGTGAGAACTCGCATTGTCGTGATGGAGGATGATGTGGCGGTTGCAGTTCTCTTTATGGAGTTCAGAAACGACCTGTGGCAAACAAATGCTAGCATACCATTCTGCATTAACCGTTCTTTGTCCCTCAAGAGGAATAGTCGTAACATGGCCGGTTTTAGAGACAAACATGGCCATCATTTTTTTGCAACACTCCGTGAACGAACAATTTTTGTTGGATTTAACTCATTTTCGAACACCCAAACTCGTGACTGGTTTTTTGTTTCGGGTTCGTACGCATATATCCAGGATTCGCCACCTGATACGATGTTGTGTACAGCATTTGAGGATCCTGCGTGGAATCTTTCGAGAGTTCTGACGCACCAAGTAAAGCGAGCCGCTTTTTGCTCTTCACAGAGCGAATGCGGTATCCATCGGGAAAACAACTTTTTTACACCTAATTGTTCATGCAAGATTATTTGTATTTGACTCATGCCAATGTCTAAAGTTGCCTGAATTTCGCGGTATGTCACATGTCGATCTTCCTCAATCAGCTTACGCACAGCATCAACGTTTTCTTGGGTGACTGCAGTTTTGGACGACCTTCACGGGGATCATCATTGAGCTTGACATGTCCACGTTGAAATTCAGCAAACCAGCGATAAATTGTGGTTTTGGATGGGGCTTCATCACCAAATGCAGAAATCATCCGGTCAAAACACTGTTTTTGTGTTAAACCACTTCGAAAGTCATAATAAATCATCGCTCTTGAATTTTCTCGAGTCAATTCCATTTTCTCAACGACTAAACAAGTTTGACAAAACCTTGTGACAAGACCGAGAATCTTTTATTAAATAAATAAATAAATGGTATTCGATTTTTAAAACCAAGGAGTTCTCAATTAAAAAGATTTTAATATGACAGGAACAGTGGAAATATTCAATTCCCGATACTTTTAGTGCAGCCTAGTACCCTATATTCCACCTCGATCCAATCGGTATTTTATAGACGCTCCAACATATATAAGTGCATGCCTTTTTAATAGCCAGCATATATATTAAAAATTGTATCATAAATGTTTCACATTTTACAAAGATTCTGCTTTAGAGTCGGCGACAATTGGTTCAACATTAATATAATCAGTGCTTCGTTAGTAATACAATTCTCATATAATATACACCTTCAGATACTATCAACATCAACCAAAATCAACTGAGCGCTAGGTTGAGTTGTCCTCTAAATCTCCCACATACTTCACAGTATGACCAGCATCACAATGAACTAAATACACATCAGACTAGGCTGTACATTATAAGACCTTTGGTTGCTTTTATTGGTGGATCGAAAAGAGTATAAAATCTCTACGCCTCGTTTCGTAGGTCATAGACATAGTATCTTAATCCTCTATCTACGTCGTATTTGTGAAGTGGTATCAAGTAGTATCAAGTTAGCAAGTAAAAGTTGAAAAAGTGTCCTACTATTTACTGAATATAGAGGTTCCAAAACCTACCACAATAGCACTGGCGTCTGAAAAACTACGATGTGAATATAGCTGTTGTAGACGGAGTGAAGTCAGCTGAATTCAAATATTTAAAAAGATTCATGACTAGAGTAGTGAGTAAAATGCCAGTATACGAAACCTTAACTATTTACTTAGTACAAAACCAAGCGGATTGGACGGTCCTTGTTTATTTCTCCATCTTATTCTAATTAATTTACGCGCTTTTTTTTTAATTTATCCTATGCTACTACAGCGCCACCCTTATTGGACGCGTTTTTAGGGACACTTCATATAAGGAGATGGTTCTCCTTCTACTCTGCACTCCATACCCAAAACGTTGGGTATAAATATTGAACAATAATAAAAACCATAAAAATAGTTAATAGTTTTATTCAAAGAGAATGTAACCACTTGGTTTTATTCAATATTCACAGACACAGAGTAAATATCAGAGTCGAAGTACTTTGAAAAATGCCTCTTAGTAGTCTATGTTTGAAAGTCTATAACTTTGAATAAGAGTTTTGGCGGGAAATTGACCGGCGGCGGTTTGCTGCTCCTGTATTATTGTTTAAATAATAGTTTGAAGTGGACTTTGATATGTAAAAGTGTTGCGATTTTGTGTATTAAGTGTCTACGCATGTGAACTATTAGTGGAAACAGTGAAACAAGTGCTCTGATGGTGATGGATTCTCAAGATAAGCTGTTTGTTTGCATAGGCACCTTTAGATACCATCGCCAACTATCAGCTGTCTGCTGGATCAAGTTGCCGCCAAAATCTCCCAAGAACTGCACAATGTGACGCATCAACATATTGTGAAGCAGTATACTATGAAGGAGTGGGAAAATTACAATAAACCGTATAAAAATACTTAAGACTTGGCCTAAAGGTCTAGATACCAGGCCATAAACTCCAAAAAAAAAAAAAACTGAATAAACCCGATTTCGAAGATGGCTATTAAAATATATTTATTTAAATGTAATTAAAAACATTGATTTTATTTTTATAATATACCATGGGTTCACTTAATTATAATTTGTACGTAACGCTACACTATTATTTTTCCATATTTTTTTTTTGTTAACTATGGCCGCAATTAATCGACATCTAGAACTTTATTTTGCTAAGATGGCGCCCTCTAGTAAATGAAGTGTCAACTTAACGCGTGTCGTCCATGTTCCGAATGTGGTGTGACTTATTTTTGTTTTGTGTTAATTTTCAGTTTATTAATTATAAATGTGAAATGCTTCAGCATGTGTTGTCCCTTATAGTGGAACCTTGCTCCGGCTGAATGGATCCCGCCGTCGCGTGGTATCAGCCTGAGCAGGAAGGACCCGCGAAGCGCCTTTGGCTTCGTATTTGGGAGACTCAAAGTGAAATAGAAAAAATGAACTTAAAAAATTTAGAAAACGCTAACCCCAATGTGAATAAAGCACAAGACTTTATACCAATAAATGATATAAATGGTGAAAATAGGAATAATAATTACTTTAACCCCGCGCGGAGGAAAGTGAATGACAACCGCGCATCTACGTTTAACCTGAACAAAAACCACGATGCGCTCATAGGTGAATACGGCGGTTGTCCTTGGAGACTGCCGAACTACAATTACAAGCCTGGTATATTAGGGTGAGTAATATTATTTTGTATTTTGGACGTAACATTGTCATGTGGTCACGCATCATTCAGAGGTGTGGTGGTCAAGAATACGCGTTCGGCATGATGGTGACAGAGCGGGCCGGTTGTCAGTCACATATTCATACCTGTCATTCGCATTATTTCCTCTATTTATTTCTTCTCCTTTCTCAATTGTATGCGTAATAGATTTTTGGGGTTAGTTTTGTTCATATTGAGTACTTAAATAATAAATTACTAAAAACTTGAAACGGTATCATGGAACCGAAAATTTGTAATTAGAACAAAATATCTTATTTTGAAATTCTTATTAAAAAAAAGTAAGTTAAAAGTAAAGGTTAATAAATTTACTTATGTAAGTTTAATTTTTTTTATACTGTAGTAAACTCAAAGGTTTTCTACCTGATCTTTTTGATATAATTCTTATAGACTAATGAATAGTGACTCATAATTATAAGTTTTATTTATTTTTCACTATAATGAAGCTAAGGCTTTTGTTTATGTTTGTGATACCAATAGATACTTTTTTTTTTTCAATTTTGATGATAAACATAAACATATTACAGTTCCACATGTATGGCATGATATAGTTACAAGCAGAGTGTCACATATCTACAGTTATATTTGCAATCAATGGCGACAAATATTATTAAATGTGATATGATTTTGTTAGATACATTTTTATTTAGTTATCTTTCAAAAACAGAAAAAAAAAGGGTAATATTTGTAACTGAGACCACCACTTAAGATCAGATCTTTTTCGTTAAAGTTAAAATATTAATTACTTTGACTTTGACTAAAATATTACATATTATATCAGGCTTTAGAAATATGTTAATGGCTAGTTTCGGCTACATAGTGTTATCTCTGTCCCACAAAGCACCAACAGTCTTGTAGCTAGAGCTGTTTAAACAATTACATTTTTATAATCATTTAATTTATTGTAAAGGTACCAAGTTTTTAAATTATTAATAGAATAAAAAATACTTAATCAAATTAATTGGTATTCTGTACAGTTTAACTCTATTAGACACAATGAATATATTATATGAATTTTTTTCTGTTTTTGTTTTATTTAATTATTAGTATAACCATATTTTTTTAGGTACACTTAAAAACTTGATTTATAACAACATATACACACAAAATTGAGTGTGTAGAATTTTTTTTTGTAATTTTGTTTTAGTCAACTATTTTAGGTATTTTTGAGTGTACTTTAAATATTCACAGTATCAATTTGTCCCCAAAAGTCAAAATTATATTCATTATTTATTCAACATAATAACATAGTTGGTAATTATAATAATTCAACTTACATTATTTATTTAACTGATTAATTTATTCTTGTGTGCATTCCTTTAAAATTTATAGAGGAAACAATATTTGAATAAATGTAACTTATTTTTTACGGTTTTAACTTTTAAAAGTAGATTTCAACTGTAGAATAAGGAAAAGATTTCATACTTTAAAAACAAAAAGAAAAGAATGTTTATAGTATTACTTTAGTGTCCACCAATCCATCCATCTGCATCTGCTTACTGTCCATCAAAAAAAAAAACTGTCTCAGAACTACTTATAACTTTTAACAAAAAGTAAAAACCGACTTCAAATTACTAAAAAAAGTTATTTATTTGTTACACTTAGAGGTGAGTTTTTTGTCCAAATTTATATGGGACTTTTTTACGTGGTAGAGCCATGCTGCAGCTATATTAGTAGTATAGTTGTAGCACGAATGGGTCGGCTCGACCGGTGAAGGACCACGCTCTCACAGAAAACCAGCTTAAAATAGCAGCTTAACGCTGCTGTGTTGTGTAGAGAACCGGAGACCCCTTTTACTGGCAAAGAGGCTTTCCATCTTATTCCTCACAGGTGACAACGCATCTGCATCTTGAGTCTTTATTGAGGATAGATGTAGATGTCTATGGGTCACAGTAACCACTTACCATCAGGTGGACTGTGTGCTCGTTTGTCACCCTATCCTATAAAAAAAAAAAAGGACTGCCTTTGAAGTATAACCTATCTTATAAAAAAAGAATCATCAATATTGGTTCACAATCTGCAAAGATATCTCATAACATACATACAAAAAAAAAACACTTGAATTGAGAACCTCCTCCTTTTTGAAGTCGGGTAAAAATTTAAACTTATTTCAATTTTAAATTAAATTCACTTTTTATAAAACTAAAGTGACAAATATATAGTCCACCTGATGGTAAGTGGCTAGCCCAGTCCATGGACACTTGCAGATACCTATAGATGTATTGTTACCTCCGAGTATTAAAATGTAGCCTCGCTAATTTTGCATACATGTGTATGACAGTGCATGTTTTTACAATAATTTGAGCATGGTTTTGGCTTGGTTTCACTTGAAACAGCAGCAAACGCAGTGCAATATTTTTCTGTTTGGGTCTGCCCTACCTACATGAATTTCAATCAAACTGACAAGTATCTCATTTTAGCTGTGTATGTGTGTATTGAGTGAGTTACTTATAGAATAAATATTATCTGTTAAAGATACATAAAAAAGATATTATGTAGTTTTGTATAATGCACAATTACACTTAAATGAGATAACACACAGAACAGACAAGTGTATGGCATGCTTCCAAATAAGATGGCATTGTAACAATTAAAAAATCATTAACTTGCCAACCATTCATTACTCTAATATTAGAACATAGTTAATGTAATGTTAGGTTAATATTCATCAGTAATTATATTTAGTTCTTGAGAGAAAATATTTTAGATGTGGTGGAGCTATGTTGCAGCTATATTAGTAGGATAGCTGTAGCAGAATGGGATGGCTCGTCCGGCGAATGACCACACTCTCACAGAATACCAGCTTAACGCTGTTGTGTATCGTATGGTGAGTGTAGAGAACCGGAGAACCCTTTTACTGGAAATGAGGTGTTTTCTTAGTCCTCACAGGTATTTTGATTCATAGTAAAGAATGGATGTAGATGCCTATGGGCCACAGCAACTACTTACCATCAGATGAACGGTGTGGTTGTTTGTCACAGTTATCATATAAAATGGAATAGTAACAAATTATATTTACTCATTGCAGTACATATCACCTTCTCTTCCTCTTTTAAGCTTTTCTATATCTGTTTCTGTTCCCATCTCATACATGTATGACGTCCCATGAACTGTGAGAGTAAAAGAATAGAAGTGTGCACCCAGTGACGGTACCTTCATACAAACCAAAAGGCATGGCATGCCACTTTCGGTTCATAGGGAATAATATTAATATGCAGGAGATCATATTTAAATTTTCAACTATAGAAAATTCTAGAAAGTTCTTATGCAGCAGAACAGTTTTATTATTAAATGATAATGTAAAATTAAAAATTTTGTACAGCTGACTTCAATATAAGTTATTAAGAATAACTCAAAAACTATGGGTCTGACCTTGATCAAATTTATATGGGACTACACGAGAAGCACCAGCTTTCATATAAAAAAAGAATTATTGAAAAAGGTTCACCCAGTAAAAAGTTATGAGGTAACACACATAAAAAAAAAAACATACAGTCGAATTGAGTACCGTCTCCTTTTTGGAAGTTGGCAGAAAAGCGTAAAAATGGTGATGAAAAGGTAAAAAATCGTGACCATGGGTGCTGTGCTGCTCGAAACGTTGGGAATATATATTAAGTTAATATACGCGATAAAATCCGTTAAAATTAGTTTTGTTTAAATGTGTAGTGTTTGCGTAAACATAAGAAAACACTGTGTAAGAAAAACTGTTTTGTCTATTCTGCCAGTTTTTTGGCTTCGAGTTTCAAGCCTCAGTGCTCAACAGGTGTCGTTAACTGTCGGCTTGTATTATATGTATAAATGCATTTACGCATTCTTTCGATCCGGATTGGAAGAGACCGGATTCGAATTCGGAAGTCGATAGTGCACTGCGACCGATTCGAATCCTAAAAAAAAGTGTAGCTTGTTAAGGCCCGCCACACACATACGGAATCCCGTTTTAGCCGCAAAATTTCGAACGGAAAACTACTATACGTGTGTGACGGGTCATAGATTTTATATGGATTTGCTGCGTTCGGAATTACAAATCGGAATATCGAAACGGAATTCCGTATGTATGTGGCCGGTCTTACTTGAGATTCGTGGAACTCGTGTCAAAAAGTATCCGCGGCCGCCGCCATCACCAGCGTGATGTATTGAATTCTTTTGTACGTGGTAGAGTCACTATACAGCTATGTTATGGTTGTGGCATCAATGTGTCATTTCAACCGGGGAAGGACCACGCTCACAGTATACCCGCGTAAAATAGCAGCTCTATGCTACTGTGTTTCGTATGATTTTCTTTTTTCTGAAATTCTATCTTAGTCCTCAGGGGTAAAAATGCATCGGAATTTTGATAGTTAAGCGAGAATAAATATAGATGTCTATGGGCCACAGCATTCACTTACTATCATGTGGACTGTGTGCTCGTTTATCACCCTTATTCTATGAAAAAAAAAAACGATTCAAAACAACAGGTCTATTATAAAATAATTAATTAATACTGTGGTTATTCTCGTCCTTTAATATGACGATCCGAAGTAGAGATATTCTCAACTTCGTAAAACGAAATTCGGATGTAGTGTGCAACCCTTCTTATATAAGTACTACAGTTATTTCGCATTCGGTATTTCTCGGATCGGATCGGATGCAGTGTACAAACGCTCTTATATTAAATTCGGATTTGAGGGCGCTGTACTGGTGTGTCTTGAGTAGCGTTTATATTGTGTATCTTGTCGCTAAGCGGTCATTAAATTGACTATAAGATTGTTGTAAAGTTGTAAATACTTATCTTCTTTTTCTGTCTTTCTATCTATATATAATAAGAGGTTTCCACCTATATACTGACTCATCATGATATCTCTGGAACCATAAGGCCTAAAGACTTGAAATTTGGTAAAAATATTCATTGCGGCGAGTAGAGGTCAGGTCTAGATTTTACGAAATTCTACAGGGCTTTGCGAGAGCGTTAATTTAAA